ATGTAAATGGACATGTGTCTCACCTGACCACTTGTGATCCGATTGACTAAAACATAGAATATAGAATCAAAGTCCCTTTCAACTCACCCTAATCCACCCTAGTTCAAAACCATAATTAGTTTAATACATGTACTGTATTTGATATTTGCTTGTCACTTGTCCATTGAAGCATCCCCCCCTCTCTCTCTCACACACACATACACACAGGGTCCAAAGGCTTTATGGAAAGGAATGGGCAGCACTTTTGTGGTACAGGGGGTCACGCTGGGAACAGAGGGCATCATTAGCGAATGCTCACCTTTACCAAGGTAAAAAAACATATACAATGTAAGCAATCGCTGAAAGGTGCCCTTTAAAAAGGCCCTCTTTGAAGATTAATCACTTTGATTTACAGCCATATAATACACAGAGGAGGAATGACCTCTATATTTAGATCTATAATTTTAATAAATGATGGCAGCGTGCAGTTTGCATGATTTGAATTTATTTGATCAATTCTCATGATGTTTTTCTGCCATTATTGAAGCAAATAATGTCTGTCTGACATTGTCATGTGTATTCACAGGGAGTTATCACACAAGTGGAACCCTAAACAAGTTGTGGGACACTTAGTACTCAAAGGGTAAGTTAAGACATTTGCCTAATTTAGTTAACAGTGCTTTTCTTGTAGAGAAGTACCGTAAATTTACTAGATTTTTTGGTAATGTTTGGAAAATGCTATAAGCTGCAAGTTGTTTATCTCTTGATTCTTTTATGAGTCATAATTTTACCTTGCTCATATCTGGGAACTGTTTGAATAAGCTTCTGACTAAGCTTAATATAGAGGTTGTTGTTTATACAACAAAGTCCCACGAAGAATACGGAAAGGGAATTCCATAGGCTTGACATTTAAATGATCGATCTTCTCCTTATCTCTTTTAGTGCAGTCGTTTGATCTTGTGAAATCATTGTGTGTGTGTGTTTTTTTTCCAGTTTGACATATGTGGTTGCAATGCCGTTTTACTCAGCAAGTCTCATAGAGACTGTACAGGTAAGGGATTCTTAAACTCTATTTACTATAGTTTTGGCTTATATTGTGTTTTTTTTCTTCCCTAAATCATTACAGACTATTTTTCACATTCTTGGCCTTTGTGTACAGAAATAAAAACGAGGAATAAAAATAATACATTCAGTGAATTTTATGTTTAAAACAAGTGAAAATATCTGCTAGTAGAACAAGACAAAATACCCTTATATTCAAGATATATTCTGTGGAAACTATATAATATTTTTTGCAGTTTTTCTTTTCATGGTTATGTGTCTTGTTTTAAGGATGTTTAAATATTTTACTGGAAAACAAGAATTTGATTATAAACATGAGTTTTATCAATTAATAATCATTTAAATAATACATTTTAAAAATTAAACATTACACATTTTTTTTGGTAGCTGTCTATAAAAACTGATGTATTTTTAGTCAAGGTGATCTCGTGATATATTTGTACAAGACAAGCATGAGACTGTGTAGATAGTTTAGTAAAATCAACACCATTCAAAAGTATGGGGTCGATAAGATTTTTTAAAACAAAGACTTCATTTATTTGATAATACAGTAAACACCGAAATGTTGTGAAATATTATTACAACCTAATAATAATGTAATTTATTCCTGTTATGGCAAAGCTGAATTATCAGAAGCCTTTACTCCAGTTTTCAATGTCACATGATCCTTGTCCTGCTTAATATTATTGTAGAAACTGTGACATTTTTTCAAGATTGTTTAATAGAAAGTTGAATTAACAGAGAGAGAACAGCAGAAAAGAACAGTGTTTATTTGAAATAGAAAAGCTTGCATTCTTGCTTAATATTAGTTTCTTTTAAAAATCTTTCAAAAAAACAACAACTGTTGAACAGAAGTGTAAATAGTTACATAATTAACAATATACTTAAAACTGTGTTTTATTTTCTTAGATTAAACTTTAAAAGATTTTTAAAATTCTTAGATTCTTCTTGGCTGTTGGTTGGCATAGCAAAAAAAAAATTAGGTGAATACATAAATGCATTGTTATATTAAATATATCCATTTTAGCATATACATAAATATCCCGAGATTTTGTCAAAAAGCTGTAAAATACTGAGATTTGTTTTATTGTTGTTGTTATATCGCCCAGCCCAACTTCATTTTCTGCTTTGTCTTCATGTTCTCTCACCAGAGTGAAATAATCCGAGACAACCCCGGCATCCTGGACTGTGTGAAAGAGGGTATCGGGCGTGTAATGGGGATGGGAGTGCCTCACAGCAAGCGTCTCCTTCCCCTCTGGAACCTGGTGTTCCCCACGGTTCTCCATGGTGTCCTCCACTATGTTATCAGTTCCAGCATACAGCGGCTGGTTCTTTACCTGCTGCAGCGTCGGAACAACGGCTCACCAAAGCACTCGTCCCCTGACTCGCAAACCGACGCAGTCCAGTCTATGCTGGATGCATACTTCCCTGAGCTCATGGCCAGCTTTGCTGCCAGCCTGTGCGCAGATGTGCTGCTGTTTCCTTTGGAAACGGTGTTGCACAGGCTGCATATCCAGGGAACGCGCACTATCATCGACAACACTGACCTGGGTTTCGAAGTGTTGCCAATTAACACGCAGTATGAAGGAATGAGGGACTGTATTAATTCCATTCGGCGTGAGGAGGGCACCATGGGCTTCTACAAAGGCTTCGGCTCCATCGTGGTGCAGTACTCGCTTCACGCCGCAGTTCTGCAGATCACCAAGATGATCTACTCAACGCTGCTGCGAAACACTTAAATAGAATGATTCGGAAAACATAGATTCTTTCCTAATTCACTGAAAGGTCCTTTTTGGTTGAGTTGGACTTTCCAAAAATGTGTCCTAATATGAATTGATTATTGCGGACATTTTGAGGTTCTCTTTACCTCTTCCTGTGATTTGTCAGTTTCATAAAGCACAGGTTGTCTTGTTGATTGCACGACACATTTATGCAAAATAGTCAATATGCTTTCACATTTGCACTGGATTTAAATTGTTATTATGGTGACCCCCAACTATCCATCAGCGTCATTATATTCCTGTATGGTTTTCTCCATTTCGTCAATGGCCACTAAGTTTCATAATGTGGTGTGTGAATGTGATTGTTTATTTGGCAACATTGTGCCATGTTCTTAAAGAAATTATATCATTAAATTGTTATTTGCACTTTAGTGAAACTTGTGCCAGTGTTTCAAACAGTGAAAATGTTTCTATTTGTCAGGTGTAACATGATATAAGAGATTAAAAATGCAGTTCTTTGAATTGGAAGCCATTATGTACACAATAATGCATGTGTAGATCTAATCTGGTTCTTGGGTGAGTAAATGATCAAGTTCTTATTTATTGGGCACCATGCTTAAAATAAATGTCTAAAATCTGTTTTGTGTGAACCTTGCGTTATTATGTCATGAATATGTTAAAATTTAAAAAAGGATGAAAAATAGGCTAGATATTGCAGACTATACACTTTAAAAAAAAATTATACTAATTAATAGCAAGGATGCATACATATGGTCAAAAGTGACCATAAAGATATTTTTACAAGAGATTTATCTTTCAAATAAATTATTCTCTTTTGAACTTTCTATTCATTAAAGAATCTTTAGAAACTGCATCACCACAAAATATTAAGCAACACAACTGTCTTCAACATTGATATCAATATAAAATGTTTCTTGAGCACCAAATCAACATATTAGAATGATTTTAGAAGGATCTTGTGTCACTTAAAACTGCAGTATAATGGCTGCTGAAAATTCAGCTTTGCCATCACAGGAATAAATAGAAGAATATTTTACAATATTACTATTTTACAGTAATATTATGAATCTTATGAACACCGAAGTTCAGTAGTTTATATCCAACTTTTTTCTTTCACCGTTATTGTCCAGGAAAAGATCCAGAACACACACAGCGGGGCATGTTGTCACACTATGAGGAGTAAGTTGTAGTAATGGAAACCTGCCATTAAACAGTCTTTTATAGGGTGTTCTGCTAAAAATAAATCAAATAAAAAAAGTGCTGGTTCACATGCAGTCGTTGTTGTTTTTCCAGAATAAGTAAATATTGATATTAATATTTACTTTATTTCCAGAAGCTGTGATAAACACATACTCTGCACATCTTAAACTAATAACTAACTAACTAAAGATGTATGTATAGAAATTATAATATTGCATATACATTTTATTTTTCAGATGCATGAAATAAATCTTACATGCATCCTAAACTGGAAACTGTTCCAAATTGCAGAATATATAAAAGATGAAAAGAGAGCTGTGTAAGAACAAATATATTACATTTCAGTAATTAGTATTAACTTATTAATAATATATTACCCATACAGGACAAGCAGTTTGGAAAATGGATGGATGAATGGTAAAATACACACAGCATCAATGTTTTACGTATTTTCAGATAAATCTGGTTTTGGTTTAATTTTTTGAATTTGCTGTAGGAATTATGCCATTTGATTGAAGTTATTTAGCCTACATGAAAGTATAAAAAGAGGAGATTTTTAATTATACATTTTAAAATCAAGTCAATTTTGGAAGTTGTCTATAAACACTAATGATTTTTAGTCACACAGATCTCAGGACACAATTGTACAAGCATGATTTTAGGGCCGACCCAGGTGATACATCAGATTGATTACATGTTCAGTAAAATCTACACCATAAGTTTGGGGTACTTTTGGTAGAGCGTAAGACCCTCCTTTCAAAAACATAAAAAAAAATATTATAAAAATCAAGGTTTTGAACAGTACAATTGCTTTACACTGGGATACCTTTTGTCAAAAAGTACAACTATGTACCATTTAGGTACTAATATGCACACGATGTAAATATGTACCTCTTTTAAGGTACTTATATGTAATCTTTAGGGGTACGGTATTTTCTTTTGAAAGGTCCCACTAGTGACAGCTTTTGTAACTGTTTTTTCTGAGAGTGTGTACCCTATATCTATACATGCTGGCTGTTAACTAGTGTTCCGAAAGATCTACTGATCTACCGACTGGGATTTTTCACAGTAGTGGGAACCTGCCATCAAACATTTGGGCCAGAGTTTCCCACATGAGTTGCAATTTAACACACATTTAAAAATGTGATGTTTTTTTGGTTCTTATACAAAGGTTTGATGAGATTGTATCAACTCTTATCTGATTTTGTGGGACAGCAATAGTGATCTTTATCAAACCTGATTTGAAACACCACAACAAATACAACATAGAAATTCTGCATTGCAATATTTGTTCATGAGTAAATTCTTAGAATTGATATAAACTGTATTAAAAATATCCATACATTCACCTGCTTAGTTTCTGCATGATTCGGTCACATCTGTGGAATTCCTACGAAAACATGTGGGGTGAAGACAGGCAATGTGATTTGAGTCATCGTGTATAATAAGTCGTGTAAGCATTTATCTGTCACACATAATCTTACTTGAGGTAAAACTTAGTCAGTTTGGGATATAAAAAGAGGTGTCTTTTGTGATTTGCAATAGTGTTTGAAGATGGACAGCAGAAAGCTTTATGGTAAGATCTATTTCCCTCGCATTATTCTACTGAGCATGTGTTGTCATGTTGTTTCTCATCTCTTCAACATTTTTTTTTCACAGAGTTGTTGCTTGTAGCTCTCACATTACACTTCGTCAGGTCAAATCAAGAGATAGAATGCCTTCGGACTATTCAAAATGATTCCCGTTACCTAATAAAACCTCATGTGGAGGTATGTTGTTATGCTGGTCATTTTAATATTTGTAATGCAAACAATTTTAATGTTTAATATATTTTTAATTTTTGTTTACTGACCTGGTTAAACCTAATATGCTTTTTTCCCCTGCCAGAAATATGAATCTTGTGCGAAAATAGTAAGTCATTTACCAGTTGACATTCTTTTTTTTTTCAAAATAATAAATAAATAAATGGAAAGAGAGAACAGAAATTGTAATATTGCCTATATTTTTTCCCCCCAGTTTTTAAATATTGTGGAAAAAAGAACAATAGAACAAAATAAATTATAATATTGCTTACATTGCTTTTACCTTTTGTTATCCAGAGGCACACAAGAAAAAATGTTTCATGCATCTTTAGCTGGACTCTAACTGGAAGCTGTTGGGAGTTGCAGGAAATACAACAGATGATAAGAGAAAGCAGTGTAAGAACAAATGTGTCACATTACAATATTAACATTCAGAATAAAATCATTTCATTTATGTACATTTATATATTTGACCAATGCTGTTATTACAGTGTAGCATTGTAATTGTCAAGAAATGACATGCATGCAATTTTCTTTTTAGAGGAAGTGTGCCTATAAACCTCCCCTACAGAAACCGAAATGCTCTAGGAAATCCTTCCTGATATGCTGGTGTGGATTTATTTCAAAGGATTTAAGGACTTTATAAGTAAAGCCACTCACAAATATGTTTAAAGCTGTTACTCTAATCTAAAAAGTCTAAGCTGATTGTTGGCTATATTTAATACATCATATATGACAAGCAGTTTGGAAACTGAATGTATTGATGGATGATTGTACAATGTACACAGCATGAATGTTTTATTTTCAAATATTTGTTAAACAATTATATATTTAATATATTTTGTCTTTGGGTAAATGCACTGTGTCACTGTTTATTTTTTCATATATTTTTTAATTTTATATTAACAGACTCTGTGTGTGTGTGTGTGTGTACTGGATTATATATCCTGGTGGGGATTTAAACCTGACTACACACAGACTCATGGGGACTCGTGTCACGGTGGGGACCTAAATCGTGGTCCCCATGGGTACAAAAGCTTATAAATCATACAGATTTACGTTTTTTGAAAATCTAAAAATGCAGAAAGTTTCCTGTTAGGGGTAGGTTTAGGGGTAGGGTTGGTGTAGGGCAATAGAATATACGGTCTGTACAGTATAAAAAACATTACGCCTATGGAGAGACCCCACAAGGATAGCTGACCAGACAAGTGTGTGTGTGTACAAATACAAAGTTTGACAAAAGATAATGCTTTTAAATTAAATAAAAAACGGCTTCTTTCAACAAAGAAAAGAGAAAAAAAAAAACACTTGACAGTAGTACAACTAATGTTGTAAGTATGAAGCTCGGCAAAGCACATATAAGCTTTTGGTTTGTCAACCTAAAAAAGTATACGTTTGTAGGAACCTAACGTACTGTAGAGAGTTTCTACACGAACCGTGTTTAGTGTAACACTGTTTGGCAACAGCGACTAGTGATACAGAAATGTGGAGGAAACGGTATTAGACATTTATCAGGATTCTGTTTACAGCCAGTGAAATTTAAGATTCCACTGGTGGAAATACGCGAGCAGTATGTCTGCGGGAAAGAAAGGAAGCGCGGTCTTCTCTGGATTCAGGGCGCTGGGACTTTACTCTAATCATCTGGCGCACGTGCTTCGCTTCCATAAGAAACACAGAGAGTTCTATGTGCTCACTGCAGTCGGACAGTGCTTCCACACATATAATGTAAGTGCAGAATAAATGAACAGAGAAGAACTTGAGAGAAACATTTGAAAACCATGGTAACTTACCTAACTTAACAAAAAGTAACGTTAGTAGCATACCATCTGTTTTTTGGACGTGCAATTGAAATTGCGGTAAAGTTGATTTTATATTGGACATTCCTTTGACATTCGGCTTGGAAAGTTAGGGAGCGTCTCTAAAGTGTGAACAGATAAAAAAAAGTGTCTCTCCGGCTCTAAAACTTTAAAACTCAAAAAATTGTAGTATTAAACATATGAACGAAAACTGTTTTGGAACGAAAACCACATAAACTTATGGCAGCGAACAAAAAGAAAAAATCATATTTATTTAGCGTCTTAACCACATACAAGACCATCAGCAATGAATTCACGTCACACGTTATATAGCTATGTTTATGAACATCTTTTTTTATTGGCAACATTTATTTTATAGGACACTGTAAATAGGAAAATGAGTGGGAGAGATTAAATAAATTCTACATCAACCTGACATAATTAGGAATCAAACTCGGGTCCTTGTGACGTGTCCTGTTCACTGGCAAACGCTCTACCACAATGCCACCAAACCTTTTTGCTTGGTTGTGTAACATCATATGTACACAAATTTCCTGATCATATGCCCTGACGATAAATGTAATTGTAACGTAAATTGTTTATTTATATACAGCTATATAAAGCTGCTGGTCACACGTATTTTCTTTTCATCATACATGACTCTGTTCGTATTTTAAATGAATTTTTCCGTCATGCAAATCTATTAAACTTCCTGGTCATGTGACCTGATGACATCACAACTGCTCTACTTTGTTCGCACGCATTTCGTTTCCATCATACATGAGTCGGATTGCGAAAATAACAATAGGTCTAATTTTAATGAATTTTTCCGTCATACAAATCTTTTAAACTGCCTGGTCATGTGACCTGATGATGTCACGCCAGTTGTAAGATCTTCACTCAATCCTGATCATACATGACTTGGATTTTGGAAATATGATTTTGTGTATTTTTGGTGAATTTTTGAAATATTAAAATCTATATAACTTCCTTGTCATGTGACCATTGCCACACCCACTGTATTATATTCATAAATATTGGTCGAACACCTCTCATGCAGTTGTTTGTGGAAATTTGTCTCAAACATTTCAAAACGTATCAAATTTTTAAATATATATTAGAATTTGTGTGTGTGTATATACCATAGACTGTTTAAAACCATATACAGTCATGGGCAGAATTATTGACACCCTTGGTAAAAAAAAATCACAAAAACCTAACCTTTCATTTAAGTAAAACAATTAAAAATAGGAGGAAATCTCATAATGAAATGTTTTTTTTTCTTCTCAAATACACGTTGGCCACGATTAGTGACATCCCTAGAAATGATGAGTAAAATATCTCTGAAGTACATTCCCATTCATATTTGCTTTTTTTTTTAGCACACCAGGGTGACTAGGAGCATGAAATGATCCATCTATGGCTTCCTATTTCACAGGATTATAAATATGAGAAAACACAAAGGCCCAAATCTCTTAATCATCCATCACATTGAGAATAACCAAAGAATAGAGTGCAGAACAAAGTTGTTGAGCTTCACAAAATAGAAAGTGGCTGTAAGAAAACAGCTAAAGCATTGAAAATTCCCATTTCCACCATCAGGGCAATAATTGAGAAGTTCCAATCAACAGAAAATGTTATGAATCTGCCTGGAAGAGGACGTGTGTCTATATCGTCCTAATGCATTGTGAGGAGGAGAGTTTGAGTGGCCAAAGACTCTCCAAGGATCACAGCTGGAGAATTGCAGAAAATATATCTGCAAAAATGTTCAAATTTCACCTGATGTGGACATGAATGTAGGGTCTATAAAACTTATGTTCCCTCACACAAACAAAAATATGGCACTGCTGAACATTCTAAATTCCATTTTCAATTATTAATAGACAATTTATTTTGTGATCAACTTTTTATTATCTTTTACATATAACATCATAACATCCATTCGGGATAAAACACACAGAAAAAACAACAACAGACATTTAATCAATTTACATATTCCAATAAGAGAGAGAAGGGGGAAAAAACAATTATTCTTTTATATAATCCAGTATTTTAGAAAGGAAAAAAAAACACTGCCAAGCATCAATAGTACTAGGTTTGGCCTTAATTCATGCTGTTGTGCATTCACAGGAATAAACCATTTTTAAACTGCCCTTACAGACAAGAATGAACGGAACAGTGGACTATGCACTAGTTTAGGACATCTGAGGCCCGTTGGCTTGTGGGGACCCAGGTTCAAGACTGATTGGAATCATGTCCTGATTTTGTTCTCCCACTGTTGTTCTAACATACTCTCCACTCTTCTAAAAATAAAACCTAACCAAATTATGATTGTTCTTACATTTTCTACATAAAATTCCTATTTTATGCATTTCTCAGAAAATGCCATTGAGGCCTGGACCCACCAAATTACACAAGGACTTTACCAAAAATTACTATAGTACTACTTAAATAAATGTTTGATATACAAATAATATAGCAATGAAAATATTTTTGTATGAGAAATGTTTGTGAATATAAACCAGCATTGTGTGACAATATCAGGTCACATGACCAAGTAGTAAAAAAAAAAAGTTTTCAATAATAAGCAAATATATTTTCAAAAGAAAAAATATGAATATACAATGTGTGAATATAATACAGTGGATGTGGCAACATGAGGTCACATGATCGGGGAAGTTATTTTGAATATTTGAAAATTTTGCCAAAAATACATGAAATCCTATTTCCAAAGTCCAGTTTGTGAATGATGTGTGTCAGGACAACAATAAAAAATCACCTTTTAAAAATTAAAACACATTTCCATTTCAGGTTTGAATAAAAATGTATATATATTTGATATTTAGCTAACAGGAAAATAAGGTTTATGAAATAAATAACACTCCTTTTCACAATCAAGAAAACCAAAAATTACATTTCCATATATAAATTCAAAATTAGGATCAACGTCAAATCAAGAATGTCACAACAAAATGTCATTGTGTGAGAGCAATTCCAAAATAAATGAAAAGAGGTTTCAGGGTTCTCGAAACAGAAAGAACAGTTGGTATTAACATCATTCTTAAGTATTTTAAGAGAGCACTTATCTGGATAGAATTTATGAATCCAATTAAATGTAACTTCTCACATTTGTTTAGTTGTCAGGTATTTGTGAGTTAATAACCAAACTTTCTTCCAAACTATTCCAGTAAGAGATTACATAAAAACTATTGAAACAAAATTCTAATTTTCTTATTGTTGTTTTTTTTTTTAATTTAGATGGCACTGTTTACCCACAACTGTTTTACATAGATCCACTGAGTGACAAGAGTTTGGAAAACAAAGAGCTCTAAAAAGCATGAGAACTCCATGTGCACTGCAAACTCTTTTGGACTAGCAGGACTGCTGCAGGAGTTTCATGCTTATCTAAGAACTTGGAATAATTACAGATTGAACCATTTTGATTGAAAAGTTAAGACACAAAAATAATACCAGTTTTAAACCAATTATCAAGGAAAAGAGAATTGTGTTTATACAGTAGATTATTTTTACAGATTAGATAAGAGGTGTAAAATTGTGTTTAAAAATGGGGGACCAAGCTAACAACATTTGCTTATAAAAAAGGTTTGATTGGGATTTTCATGCTATAATTACACAGTAATAAAAAACTTAAACCACTAGTTGGAAAAAAGTTCATATGGAAGTTATATAGGTGTTAATATTTAAAAAATTCACAAAATCATATTTCCAAAATCCAAGTCCAATGTATGATGTGTGTCAGGATTGAGTGAATATCTTACAACTGGTGTGACATCTTCAGGTCCCATGACCAGGAAGTTTAATAGATTTGTATGATGGAAAAATTCATTAAAAATACACATTGTTATTTACGCAATCTGACTCATGTATGATGGAAAGGAAATGTGTGTGAACAAAGCAGACCATTTGTGATGTCATCAGGTCACATGATCAGGAAGTTATATTGATTTGTATATTTAAAAAAAAGCATTAAAAATGCACAAAATCATATTTCCAAAATCCAAGTTATTAGGGATGTAACGATTCACTCAACTCACGATTTGATTCGATTCACGATTTTGCTTTCACGATTCGATTCACGATTATTTTATTTTATTTTTAACTAAATGAGATTTAAGACAAATTATAAATTAAATGTGTCCTTTTATTATTGCTTGGACAAAATGCTGCACATTTCTTTGTGAAACTGAAATATAACACTATAATAATATACTAATATAGCACTTGTAAATTATTGGTCTTTTGTTGGTTTTGATTGCTTCTATTGTCCTCATTAGTTAGTCGCTTTGGACAAAAGCGTCTGCTAAATGACTAAATTTAAATCTAATGTAAATGTAAATAACAAAACTACATTGAAATTTTAAAACAAGCCCCAAATCAAATAAATAAGTAACACAAATAAAATAAATATCTTCATATAAACAAAATAAGGCTTTGTCTGTGCTCTTTCCATTTAAAATGAGAGGCAACCACTGCATTTAAATCATGATCCAAACAAAGATTGTGCATACATGCAACATGAGCAGTTTTTAAACTAAATTAGATTGTACACTTTCGAAATTTGAAGCAAAAACAGAATGGTTTGACTTCAGTTTTGTGAAATAAAAATATCTGCATGAAACAGAAACAGCAGACGAGCTGAAAGACGCAGATTCACTCTCTGCCAGCAGGTGGCGCTTAAAGCGTTTTCTTGGTTTCCGCTGTAAACAAAGCAGCGCTGCACTTATAAACTTTAATATGCATTATACAGAGGCAAAATGAAAAAAAAATACCATCTAAACTTTTCTAAAGACAGTAAGGTCCCCTCAGACATGCATTCATATAAACTCCTACACCTAAATGAATCGCGATTTGTTTAGCATCTCAACCGATTTGAATCGTCACATATTTGAATCGATTTTCAACCGGCTC